CATCTGAGGATATTCCAAAAACAGCAATTGTAACTCCATTTGGCCTCCTCGAATTCGTTCGGATGCCGTTTGGGTTACGTAATGCTGCCCAGACCTTCCAACGGTTCATTGACCAAGTTCTCAGAGGACTCGACTTCTGCTTCGCTCATCTGGATGATATTCTAGTGGCCAGCGCATCCAACGAAGAACACGAACGACACCTATATCAACTATTCAAACGTTTAGATGAACATGGCGTCGTTATTAATATCGCAAAATGTGAATTCGGGGTACCAACTCTAGAGTTTTTAGGCCACCATGTTGACAATCAGGGGCTTCGACCACTCGACAACAAGGTGAAAGCTATTCGCGACTATCCAACACCGTCCAGCATACGGCAGCTGAGAGAGTTTCTGGGACTGGTAAATTTTTACCGCCGCTTTTTTCCCGGTTGCGCGGAAATCGTCCAACCGCTGAATGATTTATTGGTCGGCCCAAGAGATTCCAAACCTCCATTCACGTGGTCTCATTCAGCCTCAGCCGCATTCAGCACCATTAAGACTGCGATTGCCAACGCCACCTTGCTAGTGTACCCTAAGCCTGAAGCACCGACCAATATTATGGTAGATGCTTCTGGTACAGCCGTCGGAGCAGTACTACAACAATACATGAGAGGACAATGGAAACCTCTCGCTTTCTTCTCAAAAAAAAAAAAAAAATTAACTACGACAGAAACCCGCTACAGCGCATTTGGGCGTGAACTTCTTGCCACTTACCTCAGCGTCAAACATTTCCGTTATTTCGTTGAAGGTCGCAATTTTTTCATCCTCACGGATCACAAGCCACTGACATTTGCCATAACATCGAACGGCAATTCTTATACACCTAGAGAACAAAGGCAGTTGGCATTCATCAGTGAATTCACGACCGACATCCGGCACATCAAAGGGAAGCACAACGTGGTTGCTGATGCGTTATCACGAGTGGATATTGCTGCTTTGAAGCTACCGGGCGTCGAACAGATTGATTTTCCGGCTATTACAAAACACCACCTCCAGGACACTGGGTACCAAGGTACATCTCTGCACCTAAAGAAAACAAACATACCGTACACAGATATTTCGCTCCTGTGTGATTTTTCAACGGGAACAGCACGACCCTATATTCTACCCGCATTCCGCAAAAAAATCTTCGATGCCCTACACGGACTGTCCCATCCCGGAATACGAGCTACGCAGAAACTTATCAGCACCCGTTTTGTCTCGCCAAAGATGAATACAGATATCCGAACGTGGTCAAGATCATGTACAACTTGTCAAAAATCAAAGGTTCATCGTCATACCATAACGCCATTCGCGAAATTTCCACAAGTTACGGGACGTTTTGAGCATGTTCATCTAGATTTGATCGGTCCATTACCTCATTCCAACGGCTTCACATACCTCTTAACATGTGTGGATCGTTTTACACGGTGGCCCGAGGCAGTCCCGATTCCCGACATGACAGCTGCAACAGTTGCTCAAGCTTTCGTCACAGGGTGGATTGCCCGTTTTGGAGTACAATCAATAGTCACTACGGACCGCGGACGACAGTTCGAGTCGCACCTTTTGGCTGAACTGATGCGACTCCTTGGCATCAAACGCCTTCGCACAACGGCGTACCATCCCGCCGCAAATGGAATGGTTGAACGATTTCACCGCCAACTAAAATCATCACTGCGTGCTCACAGCTTCATCCCATGGACTGAAGCACTACCCATTGTTCTACTAGGAATTCGTTCCACGCTCAAAGTGGACATTGGGGTCTCTACTGCTGAGCTTGTCTACGGCACTACGCTACGTCTACCTGGCGAATTTCTTCACAACACGTCACCTGATGTGCCCACGTGTGCCCAGGATTTTACAAACTATGCTCACCGTCTCAGACAACATTTCAGACAACTTCGCCCATGTGCACCACGAGAGATTAAGAACAGCCCTTCCTTCATCAGCCCCGACCTTGACACCTGCATTAATGTTTTTGTTCGCATCGATAGAACAAAGAAGCCACTTGAACAGCCATACCAAGGTCCGTTCAAGGTCCTCAACCGAAAGTCGAAGTTCTTCACCATTGACATGGCCGACCGTCATGAAACCATCTCAACTGATAGATTGAAACCTGCTTATACAGACGAATGCAGCTAAAAACAATACTTTAACACAAACAAACCAGCAAGACGGTTACAACCATCGCATTCGGTGAAACGCAACTTGAATGCGCATTGGGATTAACACTTAACAATTTTCCTAGCGGTGTAAATAATTGTACATATTCCTTATGGCAGTGTCCAGTGCCAAAACATTTAGTTACAATGTATGTGTCTAGCATATAACTTCGTTTCTACCGAGGGGAGTATCTGTGGTGGCTGCGGAAGAAGAAAACGTCTTCCTCGAGCCCTCGGGACAATGATCATCGCGAGGAGACACGGGTTAGAATGACTACAACGCTCAGTGCCGTCTCCACGATTAAATTGTGATATCTATACAATTGAGTCACATCACTTTCATCTGTGTTTTCAATACTAGAATCGCTTATAAACGACGTTACTTCACCAAATCCCTTGAGACTAAATTGCAGCAAATAAACGTTCTATCCACGGAACTTACCGAGTAGTGAAACGAGCTGGCAAACAGTCATGATGACCCAGGAAATCGCTATCGGAGAAATAATTTCATTTTCTATGGTGTTGCCGAGGATACAAATAAAACATAGCGACGTCCGAAACAAAAATTCTGCAGCTCTGCGGAGCTGTGCTAGGCATCAAAATTGACCATTTACATGTATAACGCGCTCACCGACTGGGTAGACAATGCAGAGAGATCCAGGTCAATCATTTTAAATCTTTCCTCGTTCAAAACAAAACAAACTATACTAACGGAAACGCCCAAGCGAAAAAACAGCGGAATATTTATCGGCAAGGACTTTTCTCTAAACGGCCGTCATGAAAGAAGCAAGCTTCTTGGATTTGCCAAGATACAAATAGTCAATTTAAACTACGCTAAAATAGACTAATTATTGGAAACAAAGTATTTTACTATGACAACAACGAACAGAGAGTAAAAGAGAAAACAATCTATTAACCAGTACGAATTCAACGGACTCCCCTCAAAAATACTTTAACTGTGAATGAACTGGATGTACTTCTCGTGAATTGTCGTAGTGTAAAAAATAAAATTGATGACTTAGCAGAGCCTGTTAATATGAAAAGGCCCAGTATGTAAGGGGTATAGAGTCCTGGCTTGATGACTCAATCAAAAGTGCAGAAGTTTTTCCACCTGATTGTACTGCTTATCGATGAGACAGAAGTGGGCATGGTGGCGGAGTATACCTGCTGACTCACAACAGTCTGCAAAGCACCGCCATTGATTTTCGCCATTTCCATTTGAGTCTGTTTGGCGTAAGGTGTCGCTTCGTAATGGCCACTTCCTCACAGTTGGTTCATTCTATGAACCAACTGTGAGCCTGCGTCTGTCGGCGATACCATTATTTCTTTAACAAATGCTATTTCAGGAATTTCTTACGACAACCTTGTACTGGGAAACGACTTTAACTATCCTGATATTAACTGGGTTGATGGATTACCAATCAGTATAAACTTATCCACACCTTACAAAACCTTTATTGAATTTGCCTTAGCCTTTTCTTTATGTCAACACGTTACATTTCCTACACGCTGAGACCACAGGAGGGACAGCGCGCTAGACTTAATCTTTAGCAGTGAACGATCTGTTATTTCTTCTACTTCCGTTGTTCCCGGTATCAGCGAACACAAGACTGTAGCAATGAAAATGAAATGCGCAAAAGAAAAAGAAAACGCAAGAAAACCGCAGAGGAAAATTTATTTTTACTATCAAGGGGAATATTCTGCTTTAGCTGACAAACATTCTTATTTTTCACCAGTACCATTAAACAATGAAACAAATTGCCCGAGGAAACTTTTTAAAATCCCTGATCCGATAAATTTTTGATAAACTGTCAGTGATAGCAGGGAAAAAGGAAAGTGAATTTTCTTTTCGTTAATGTGTATTCAGAATGCTTGGTTTGTAACACTGTGCTTTGTGTCTTCATACCTTTACTTGTACGGAAAATTATATTGATGGCTAAACCTTACTACCATTGTGGATCCATTTTGTTAAAGTCTTATAATTTTGCAGCACACTTTTTTTTTGGAGCCTGTTTGCTTTTTAAGGTGTGTTTCTTTATCTGACCACTGTGATTCTTGTCCAAATATATCCTCACACCTCCCCCGCAACTGTGATAATGCCTCATGGCGCTGCGGGGTAACATGTAAGAAATGAATAAATAAAAAGATTCAACTTTGGAGAATTAGCCCTTGTCGTTGAAACTCAGATATCACGTGGCCTCCGATTCAGAGCAAAAATAAACTGCTCTGTGGTTATGAAAAGCCTCTTTCTTGCGATATCTCATATTCTATTGTAAATAAATGCACTTTGAGCTTGGAAAAAGCCTGGAAATGTTTGGCCTTTGTTTCGCCCGATCAAGACATACTGAAACGTATCCTGCTTAATCTGCAGCTGTTTTTGAATATTCATTAACATTTGCTGCCAAACTAACTCATCGATTTAAGTAACCAAACAATATTCTACCCTCGGTGAAACATCTGGTTGGGGTGTTTCACAATTGCAAGCGCGAAGAGGTAAAAAAAAAATTCATCACGGCTTCACTTTTACACAAAAAAGATGTACGAGGGGCCAATGCGAGTTTGCACTGGAACACCGCTTATTTATTTATTTATTCATTTACCCTAACGGCCCTTTCGGGCATTACGTAGGGGGGAATTCATACATACGGAACACGTTGACAGTAGTTATACACAGAAAACAGGAAAAAAAAAAGAAAAGAAAGCCGCGGCACACAAAAAAGTTCAATTGCTGCACTTCAATGGTAACATTATACAAATACAAAAAGAAAACCAACGACACACTGCAGAACTATGGCTTATCTGCGACGAGGGGCAAACATTATTGTGTTTTTTGTGAAATGAAAGGAATCAGGAGATTTAAAAAAGCCTGATAATCCTGTGTCACTGCGATATCATACGGTAAGGCATCCTGTTCAAAAACGGCAAGGTTAAAAGGAGAGCATTTGTACAGGTTAGTGCGTAAAAAAATTGGGGTTACTTTGTTGGGGTGGTCTAGTCGTGGGAAGATACGGTTAGCTGGAGCAATGTGTGTTTGACGGAAAGGTGTAGAAGCGTGATGTATTTTATGAAATAAAGAAAAACGGGCGATTCGCCTTCTGTTCACGAGATATGCTAAATTTAAGGACTCTTTTATACTTGTTATACTACAGGTGGTTGAATAATTGAGTGTTCTAAACCGGGATGCTTTATCTTGGAGAGACTCTAACTCATTAACTAGATAGGCTTGGTGGGGATTCCAAATAACTGACGCATATTCTATTTTCCTTCTTACAAGGGATGTATATGCCATTGGCTTTGTTTTTGTGTCAGATAAAAACAAGTTTCTTCTCAGGAATCACCGGGTTTGATTAGCCTTTCGTACTATTGTCTCAATATGTAATTTCCAAGATAACTCTACCGTAAGATGAACACCTAAGTACTTAAATGATTGCACCTTTTCTATATCTACACCATTAATTTGATAAGTATGCTCGGGAGTGTTGGTTTTTCTAGTGTAGTGCATTTGCCAATCAACACACCATAGTGAAATTTTGTCTAGATCTGCATGAAGTAATGCGCTATCAGAGGGGGAAGATATAGTTCGGTAGATGACGCAGTCGTCTGCAAAAAGTCGGATCGTGGACTGAATGTTTACGTGAATATGTTTAATGTATAGTAAGAAGAGGAGTGGCCCAAGTACTGATCCTTGCGGTGCACCAGATTTTACGGTTATTGGGGGAGAGATTATGTTATCGAAAACGACACGCGTCTATTTTAAAGAAAGTCTGAGATCCATTTAATGACACCCGTTTCTATATTAGCATCTGTCAGTTTTTTTTATTAACCTTATATGCGGAACACGATCAAAGAGTTTAGAAAAGTCAATAAAAATTGCGTCAGTTCCGGGGGAGGAGTGAATACTTTTATGAAGGTCCGTAATTAACTCGAAAAGTTGAAGTTCACAGGAACGTCCCTGTTGAAAGCCAGGCTGGTTTGAAAAGAGAAGGTTGTTAGTCACGAGATATTTCATGGTCTGAGAATAAATTATGTGTTCCATTAATTTACATGATACGCAAGTAAGAGATATGGGTCTGTAATTTGTGAGGGATTTGCGATTGCCAGATTTGTAAATAGTGAAGACATGGGCCAGTTTCCAATCGTCGGGTAGTGTTCCAGTAGAAAGTGACTTTTGGAAGAGTGCTCCTAAAAGTTCGCTGGATATGTCTTTTGTTAATTTCAGCAATTTTGTGCTTATTCTGTCCGGACCAGGGCTTGAATTTGTTGGCGTCGATCTATTGCATTGGCAACTCCCTCACTGGTGATGATAAAAGTGTCCATTTTAGCGGACGTTGAAGATATTAACGTATTACTGGTCAAGGGAATTTCATCCGTGAAGACGCTACCATAGAAAGAGTTTAATGCCTTTGCTGTTTTCAATGTGCTCAAAACACTACCCTCTTCTGAAAAAATAGAAAAGCGTAAATTCTTTGGTTTAGGGTTCACCACACTCCAAAATTTCTTCGGGTTGGTTTTCAAAATGTTAGACAGGTCGCTGTTAAAGAATTTAAGTTTGGCTCTCTTGATTTCTTTTTTGCAAGACCTTGAATGTGAAAGATAAGACTCCCAGCCGTCCTGGGCGTCCGAACGCTTGGCTTTTGAAAAATGTCTCATTTTCTTATTTATACACCGTCGCACAGTTGTCGTGAACCAGGGATTACTAGCACATGGTAAAATATAAATTTTGGGTATACACATATCTTTCACCTCAATCATTTTATTTCGGAAAGACACCCAGCTGTCATTTACTGACCGGCAATACAACAAATTAAAAGAATTGAAAGAAAATTCAGACAACATATTTGACATTTTTTGAAGGTCGGCCCTTGTATAATCAAATATCTGTTTCTTCAGAACGTCACGTCTCTGAACTGGGGTAGAAAAACACAATGTGCCATCTTGTGGTCGCTGATATATTCTAAAACATTAACATCAATAGAATAGGGATGAGTGGTTAGAAGTAAATCTAGAATATTGTCGTTACGGGTTGGCTGGCTCACAATTTGTTGAAGCTAAAATGCTTCCATAGTATCTGGAAATTTTATACATTGCTGTTTGTTTCCACAGAGTTCATCGGCTACTTTCATATTCCAGTTTATACCAAGTAAGTTAAAATCGCCAGTCAGTATGATGGGGCAGCTAGGGAATCTTGCTTGTACCTGTTCCAGACTTGCGTTTAAGCTTTCCACAAAATCAGATGAGCAGTCGGGTGGACAGTAACGCACACCAATCAAGGAAGACCTGAAATTTAACCGCACCGTCACCCACAACACTTCAAGAGGGCTCGGAATATCAATGCGGGAAGAGATTAGTTCATTTTTAACAGCGATGATAACTGCCCCGCCTCGTGACGCGCTCCTATCTTTCCTATACAGCCGAAAAGTTCTAGATATACTTAGTTCACAATCGGAGACTTCCCGGGTAAGCCGCGTTTCTGAGCCCATAACTATATCAGCTGAACAGGCTTCAATGCTGGAAAGTAAATGATCTTGCTTCGGAAGAATGCTTCGGAAGTTGGCGAGAATAAAAGAAATCCGTTCCCGAGATTCTATCTTGCCTTTGTTGTTTTTATTAGCTTCCCGTCATGTGTTTGGTGAGGTGCGCGGTGTCGACGGGGTACTTATACTATCTACCACCATATCGTTATCTGCGTCATATCGATAAAAAGTATTATTTACCAGTAGTTTATCGTAATAAAGTCTGAACTTGCTGACCCCAAACCGTAGCTTTGGGAAATCGCGTAGCTTCTTCCTAATTAGTTGAATGTTTGGTGAAAAATCTTCCTCAATCCAAACGCCACGCAACGCAGAGTCCTTTAGTTTGTACGCGTTTCTAATAATTTCGTCTTTGTTTTTGAAATTCAAGAACTTAACCACACTAGGGCTGTTAAAACCAGCTTTCTTCAAGCCAAGTCGGTTTAACGCGCTCGATTTCGCCAACACTGACATGAAAGTTCGTAGAAAGGAACGTCTTCGCGATGCGCTCGGAGTCAGACCAGCTCTCACGTTCTTGTTCCGCTAGTACTTTGATAATTACATTATTACGACGCATTCTGCTATTCAAATGTTCTGCGAGGTCTTTATATTCTCGTTGCCTCTGCGATATCATGTTGACCTCTGTTTTCACTTCATGCGTTTCTGCTTTCAATGCAGCGAGGTCCTCCCTTGGCTTTGTAACCTCGCTTATAGTTTCTTCTAGTTTAGTCACGCGGCTGCTGATGTCATTAATGCCAGTGTTTATTTAATGTAGTCTTGCCGTTGTTTCCTTCTGGTACTGTTTGTTGGATTCCTCGGTATCCTTCAGAGCTTTCAGTATCTGATCCAGCTTATCGGGGCCAGGGTTTGTTTCGACATCTCCCGCGCATATTAGTAGCTGAGCTACACACAAAGATAGCAACAGAATTTTTGTGGTGGGACAACACGTCTGAATGAAGAGCGCTAACCGATGAAAACGCTGACCCATCATTGCCTTTGGTTTTTGGCGGGTTGAAAACCGGCCAATTGTGGCTCGGTATGTTGCTAGGTCAACGCCCATCTAGGTGTGCAGAGTAAGAACACTGTGGGATCTGCGACCGTATGAACAAAATTTAAAGTCTTCACATATAAAGAGATTCGACAGCTTACCTAGAAAAGAGCGTAAACAGTCATCTTGCCCGCTGAGTGCCTGGAAATGAGAACATGGTCATGTAACATTTAGACGTGAGAATGAATTTTATTTTATTTTATCTATTTTGCCTCAAATGTATTTAGCGATGTATGTCCTATGGGTCAAATAAAGAAGCTCGAAGAAGTCGTGATATATGTATTGACAAACACCTAAAAAATATTAGATAGGAATAGATGCTGAGATATTGAAGATTTGAAGAGCATTTGAAGCGATGTGAAGAAAGGACTTCTCAGTGCTAAACCGCAACGTCCTTTTTTTTGCGTGTGAAAACATCATTTTCAATTCATCCTTCGCATAGACTTCCTTCCTCGGGTGCAGGGATAATTGCACTCAAACTGGTCTCCCAGAAAGTACGTTTCGAGGCCTCTCCTAAAGCATATGTGAGTTGTGCTTAACAGGCTGTAGCAGCTGTTGAGGAACTGTTCTAGGATATCCAGGTTAAAAATAGCTAGGAAGTGAAAATTACTAGAAAGAGTGATTGCTGCTGGATGTTCCGCTCACACACTTTTGACTACAAAACTCAAGACTCGACTCGGGGGTTTTAGTCAAAACTTTAACCACCACCAGCTCGTTTGCGCCCTTACCTTTTCTTTACGCATTTTGTCGTCTGCTGCTTCTTCGTGCTATTTTTATTATTTTTAGGTGACAAACTGTTAACTACAGGTCCTTCGTATCTATTTAGATAGACCCGCTACTCGATCTCTGTGTATAATTATTCTTAATTGCGCCACAAAGCAAAATCATTACTTTTGAGGTTGACTTGTTTCTCTCTATCCAACGTCATTCCAACCCGAGTGTCTTCTTGTCCAAAACAATAACAACAATACTACGTGAGCCAGAGCCGAAAAAAGTCAACCAATAAAAGCTGTTAAACAAGTGATTTCACAATAACGAGTGAACACTGTAATCCTGATCATGGCGAGTTTACCTGAGACTTGTTTTCTAAAGCACGACTCAAAGACAAAAAAAGTCTCAAAAACACCTAATGCATAGTGGATAGAAGGGACCCTTAAATAGGCTGTATTGAACAAGAGGTGAAATAAGTAACAAATGACTTTTTCTACAAGTACCCTTCCGTTTACAAACGCCACACAATAGGAGATTCGTTCCAGAAGCGTACAACTTTTTATTGTACACAACCTTTTAACGTAAGGGAGGAAAACACCCCCCCCCCCAAAAAAAAAAACAACATACTAACCTCCGGAAGAACTAGGATAAAATAGACAACAGTCCATTCAACCTAGGAAATAGACGAACTAAGTATACATTTTCAAGATTCCAAAACAAACAGACATCCAACCCAGGTTTACGGAAACAAGGGAACAAAAAAATCTTTCTTAGGTCAGACATTCCTGAAATATTGATTGTTCAAATTCGTCACAATTCCACGTCTTGTTTCTATTATTGATTATATCACTAGACATGATGTAGAATACCCGAGACTGTTTTAAAAGCTGGGAAACTTGGTCTAAGAAAAAATAAAGGGAAAATGTACGTCCCAAAGTCGAAGAAAAAACACAGGGGAAAAGAACGTCTTAAAGTCTCGGGTATTCTACATCATGATCAATTTCCACCAGCTCGCCTGCGCACTCACTGTTTTTTTTTTCTTTTATTTTTTTATAGCAAGACGCTTGCTGTCATTCTTTTAAGACAATACTACTTAAGTAGAGTATCATACGGGCACACAAATATTACATTCAATCAATTGTTTTGATATGTCCCAATACGGCTATTTATTTTTATACAAGCCTTATGCTCATGCAGCCTGTCTTTAATGTCGCTTTTTGTATCATCCATGTA